AGGAGCAATTAGTTGTACTTTAATATTATGTGAAACTAAGGCAAATATTTTGGCTAGTCTTTGTAAATAGGGAACAGCCAACAGCTTTTAAAATAAGAGTTTTAAGAATGAATAGAACTGCATTTCAGCCTTGGCACTTCAGTGTACAGTTGTGCACACTGGTTCTTAACAGGACAGGACTTAACAGTCACTGAATCTTAACAGGACTTGCAGTGCTTAGCTACACGAGAAGAATAGAATATGAATAATGTATCCCTATTAAACTATCAATGCAAAATGAAAGCTGAATCCCCTATCACACAGCACAACCTAGCCCTCTCTGTACACTATAGTGCAGATAAGCAACGCAGCCTGGTCAAGTACCCATCCTATGACTGGACAATGATTGAGGAGCAGCATACTGATAAAGTCATCCCTATGCTCTAACCCTTTGAAAGTATGCTAATAAATAGCACTGGGCAAGTCAAAACACATTCTGATAAGTCTGACAGTACTATGTAAATACTTGATAATACTTTCCTAACATATGTTTAACCAGATTCAATTTCTGCATTTTTTTTATAGCTACCTGTACCTGAACTCCAATGATAAATTCAAAGTTTTCTACAGTGTAGCAGTTTGCAGTCAAGACTTAGAAAGAGAAGCTTCTATGTCTATCATAACTTTATACAAAGCTTGAAGTCAAATGAGTTATAGCATCCTTACAATTTTGATGCCTTGCCTTTTGATGTAAATTGAAGGTCCCGGTGCAGTAAAACGTAGTAATGAAGAAAGTTTCCTAAATTTAATCCCGTTATGTGTTCCTTAAGAAGCAGAATTCATGAGAGAGTAATAAACTGCATTTTTAAGACGATACTTCACAGAGTTCTCAGATGTTAAGAATATGTCATACAGTATAGCACTGAGTTCAGCGTGTGTTATGTAGAACCTCCTACTTGGCATGCAAAAAAAAAAATCAGAGGAGATGGCTATGATGTGTGAGGAGGCAGAGGGGTGTCCTAAGAAATTGATTCTCCTGGAGTAATCACATTATCTAGCAAGTCCAAAGGCACATTGCAAGTGATTAAAAATAATTTATGGAAAGGAAAACCATGCAAGTAGAAATTCAAAATACTTGATTTACTGTGTTACTGAAAATGTTAAAACTGGTGACAGGGGGTTTTTAACATGGGGAGTAGGGAGATGGTTGTCAACTTAAAAGGGAAAGGGGGCCCTAAATGTGGCCTCTACGTTCTCCAAAGTGCTGCATATACAGTTGCAAGAAAAAGTATGTGAACCCCTTGGGATTACGTGGAGTTTTGCATGACATAAAATGTGCTCTGAACGTCATCTAAGTCACAAACACAGTCTGCTGAACATAATACTACACAAACATTAGATGTTGCCATGGTTTCATTGCACATAACATTTAAACATTCACAGTGCAGGGAGGAAAAAGTATGTGAGGCCCTAGCTTAATGACTTCTCCCAGAGCTAATTAAAGCCAGGAGTGAGCCAACCTTGACTCCAATCAGTGTGATGATAATGGATGTGTTGCTGACACTGTCCTGCCCTTAAAAAAAACACACACCTGTTTTGGGTTTACTGGTTTCAAAAAGCACTGTCTGATGTAAACCATGCTCACAGAAAAGAGCTTCAGACGTTCAGAGCACTTTTATGCCCAATTCATGCAAAACTCCATGTAATCCCAGGGGTTCACATACTTTTTCTGCAAACTGTATTTATTACAATGCTACAGAAAACTGTCACAGACTGAAGACATGCTAGGGGAAATAGGCAAATATTATTCTGCTAGAGTGGTTGGAGACTGAAATCATGCTATAGGAGACTGTCATAGACGACATGTTGCATGAGACCACTGCACTTCATTACAATTCAGGAACCCTTTACAAATCAGTTCTCCCTCTACTGACTGCTGAGGCCCAAGGGCTGCACTTCAAACACCACAGGGCCACATGTTGCTCTTGGGCTGCAGGTTGGGCATCAGGGGAGTAGAGTGATTGCAAATTAAGTTACAAATTGCTATAATTCATAAACTATCAAAAAAGGAAGAAAAGCATGCAAAAATGTGAACATCAAAAAATAACTTAAAGTGTTACTAAACCCAGGACCCTGCATTCACTATATCTGGTCTCCCACAGTACACAGAACATGGAAGTGCAATTATTTTTAGTAAATATAAATTGCTAAATACCTTTTTCCATCAGCAGTTAGAGCAGTCTTGTGACTTCTATCAGTGTTCAGCAGAGCACTGGTTACAGCTTGTAGGAGAAGTTTTCTTTTTGCTCTAGGAGGATGCAGAACCCCTGACCTCTGTCTGGACAGTGCTGATTGGTCCTGTGCTGATCACATGCACTTTCCCAAGAAAATAAATCTCTTTAGCAATACACACTAAACTGAGCATATGCAGACGGGCTAAGGGTTCAATCTGTCTTATCAGCGTGGACATTTGAACAAAAGGAGGGGCAGAGAAGTCAGGATCAAACGGCCTTTTTACACAATGCAGAGGATTAACCCCTTAGGTTCCACAGTGAGTATTACTGCATATACAGACTGATTTTACTGTTGTGGGTTTAGTAACACTTTAAAAGTACACACTGTGACGATCGCAGCGTCAGACCCCAGCCCTTCTTACCAAACTCGTGACTGAAGGACTAGCCAATCTAAAACCGTGCTGTCATGTGCATAACAATGCCATGCCCAGCTGCACCCTGCACACAGATTTTCCAGCTAATGGACCACAGTCTGTGTACCGGCAGCCTGGAAGTGATTGGTACTGGGTCAGGTTAATTATGCAATTAACCCTTCACACTGCCACCACCTCCTTTTTGTACAGAGAAAGAGGAAAACTCAGCAATATTAGCAATAACACTATGATGTTTGGATAATCGTCTGTATACCACTGTCACCGCAGGCAGGTTATACAGAGGGTTAAACACACACAGTAGCGCTCTTCAGCGGCAGGAATTCGTAATTTGCATTAAAGGCGTTAGAAACAGTTCAACACTTTCAGAAAGTAAGATTTATTACTAAAAGGTCAAAAGGGTGCAATAAAAATATTTACAGGAAAAGATGTAGCCAATATATACAGTATATATAAATATACAGAGAACAATAGCACAGCAAAGAGATAACAGAGAGAAGTTAAAGGGTTAAAGTACTTGCCACATGTCCTGGGTTAAGCAGCTTCCAAGTTTCAGAGCCAAAAGGATGCTTTGATCTCCCACTGTTAGTTTGGATGTTAAAAGGAGACTCTTCAACTCTCACACACAGCTCAACTCCAAGCATAACAGCCTTTTTCTAGGATCTCAGCAGGTTGTCTCCCTACAGCAGAGAGCCAATTGCCTCATTTGGGGAGGGGTGTTGGGGCAGAGATCCAAGCTAGAACAAAAATCCCTCGTAGCTTATATTATGGTCCATAACTTTTACTAGGTACATGTAACATTCCAACAACGGGTAGATTAATACACAGAATCGTCTGCTGAATGTCTACATATGAAATATGACATACCTGCTGGGATGGTCAAGGAGATATTATTTTCTGCTCTCCTGTTGATCTCAGCTAGGGGATGTAATATATCAGGAAACTTGTATCAAAGTGACCAATCTGAATATATGCCTGGTTTTTATGTAAGTCTCCCATATTCCAAGATATGTAATCATAGGAGAAAATGGATGTTGAATGTGGTGTCTAGTTTATGACTCCTCTGGAATGTTTTTGAACTCAGAGAAGGACTCAGTTTATGCTTTTATGATCCCTTTCCAAACAAGAGTTTCTTAGACAGAGGGGCACCTAGCTAGTGAGGTTTTATAGCCAGGACGCCCTCCCACTGAGCTTGTTGCCTGTGATCTCTGCAAACACACACCGACCACGTCACTCAACAGAGAGGGAGGGGGATGAGGAAAGAGGGAGAGAGAGATAATTATACAAGATAGACGGTCTTTTGCCAAAATGGAGGTTCCCATCCATCTCTGTGTGCATGATTGCTACACACACTGCTATAGTAACTCAAAATATGTGCCCAAGAAAAATACAGTGAACTATCCTTTAAAGTGAATTCTAGATATATTGTTATTCTAAAGTCCTTATTTAAAAATACTTTATTTTTTTTCCCAATATTCTAAAGACTCTAAAGAAACCATTTCATTGCATACTTTGTTCACAGTGCTACTTGTCTTGACAAATTTAGTACGCAACTCTGTGACACAAATACCCTTTTAGTTTAATAAATATGGCTGTGGGACCCAAAAAATTAAAATTGGTAAGCAAATATAAGCGCAATATTACATAGAGGCTCTGTTAGAAATTCTGTATGTAGCTCTACAGAACACAGTGCACAGTCCACATGTGCTTTTCTGCTGTTTCACTACAACAGGAAACAGGAACTTTATTCAGTGAAAAGACATAGTTTATCATAGATACAGCTACAAAATTATAAACACTGCCATCCACTGGTTGAAGAATATATCTCTAATGAATACCTATGTAGTCATTGCTATGTGGTATTTCAGATCCCTTGCATAGCACTTCAGGACTTTCAAATGGAAAATTGGGACAGGACCACATAACCTTATCTGGGTTTCAACTTTGGCGTTGAAAAGAAGTTTTTCATTTTGTGCTTGCAATGCCTGTAAATAATGACATTCTTCTGTGCAAGCTTTATGCTTTCCACCCACTTGATTTTTTCCATACTGGCAAAAACTAAAGCTAGTGCTACTGAAGACAGCATAATTTCTGTTTTACAAGAAAACCTATAATTTTACTTGGCAGTCCACAAAGCTAAGTCTTTAGAAATAGCAAGGGTTGACCATATGTCATCAGAGCTGAACTCCAGGTAGACTGCTTCATATGCATTGAACTATTATACTGTAAACAGTTTACATACAAAATGACCTATAATTCTGTTCTGATAGGCTTGTGACCCTGTCAGAAATTATAACCTGGTTCATGACCCTACATTTTTTTGATTGCTGTTAAGAAATACAACTTGGCCACTGACCAGGGGTGCACTGACAACTCATGGGGCCAGCGGGCAATAGGGGATCATGGGGCCCCTGTGTCCTTGCCCAAACTCAAAAAAAGCCTATGAAAAAGGTACCAGGGGCATCTCATGGGGCCCACTACTGACCCCGGGCCCTCGGGCAGTGCCGGAGTTTCCAAATGGTCAGTCCGCCCCTGCCACTGACCCACTCCAACCTACTGATTAGAAAGTACTGGGACATCACCATGCTGATGAGGTCATCACTGTACTTGCTTCATTTTCTACTCAGCTACCAAGCTACCAATGTTACAATGAAACCACTGTGCATTGCTCTAGAGATTTATTGGTTAGAATATGGCAGTCCCATTTGTTGTCTTAGCCTTGCTGTATAGGAGATTACAAAAATTAAATATAAAAAAGATTCAATATGCATTTCCTTTCCACTTATGTTTGAGGTGGACATAGAGACAGAACTTCAAGAGAACGTTTGAGGTGGACATAGAAACAGAACTTCAAGAGAACGTTTGAGGTGGACATAGAAACAGAACTTCAAAAGAACGTTTGAGGTGGACATAGAAACAGAACTTCAAAAGAACATTTGAGGTGGACATAGAAACAGAACTTCAAGAGAACGTTTAAAAATTGAAAGCTTGTGAGCAGCTATGTGAGTAATGAAACCTACTTAAGTGCTAATTGTGAATCGCCTGCACCTATCACGTACTCATACCAGTGTGCTAAATCAATAATATATATCACAATGTGCCGTGCTTCACTTGAAATTATACATCCAGTTGCTATTACTTTTATTGCATAACACAATAAATAAACAATTATATGAAAAATGAAAACATGAATAAAAATAATAAACCAGTGTCAATTTCCAATAACAGTATCCGTATAACCGTATAATTATCAAAAAAAGTCCATATATGAGATTTCTTCAGACTTGCATAGTTCATTTTAAAATATAATAACCCGTGCTTCTAAAATAAAATATATTTTGTGTGAAAAACGTGCATGGACGTGCTCCCCCACCGGTTGTGCTCTCCCCTCAAGTATATGACCAAACCGTTAAGTAAGGTAATATAACGCTTGTGTACCTTTAAATGGGCCAGAGTATGGATAAGATGATATCTTGCTGTTTGGGGTCCTTCTCCACTCAAATGATAATCTTCCCTTCCATGGTGGTTAATATAGAGGAATAAATCAAATCATAGTTTATTATCCTTTAAAAAACATTTAATTAATAAAAGTAATGCACTCACATATACTCTGTATATAAAACCGCTTTGTTCACAAAATGTGTCCTCCAGATCTTTTCTTATGGTGAAAAACCTAGAATTGCCAGCTGGTGTCAGTATGGAACCATCAAGCGTTGTGATGTCAGAGCCCCTCCCCTACGCGTTACACCACCGGTCAAGTGGCTTCATCAGGGGGAAATGATTCACAAAAAGCACAGGTTATTATATTTTAAAGTGAACTATGCAAGTCTGAAGATATCTCATATATGGACTTTTTTTGATAATTATATGGACACTGTTATTAGAAATTGACACTGGTTTATTATTTTTATTCATCTGTTCATATTTCATATAATTGTTAACTTCAAGAAAACGTTTGAGGTGGAAATAGAAACAAAACTTCAAGAGAACGTTTGAGGTGGACATAGAAACAGAACTCCAAGAGAACGTTTGAGGAGGACATAGAAACAGAACTTCAAGAGAATGTTTGAGGTGGACATAGAAGCAGAACTTCAAGAGAATGTTTGAGATGGACATAGAAACAAAACTCAAAGAGAACATTTGAGGTGGATATAGAAACAGAACTTCAAGAGAACATTTGAGGTGGACATAGAAACAGATCTTCAAGAGAACGTTTGAGGTGGACATAGAAACAGAACTTCAAGAGAACGTTTGAGGTGGACATAGAAACAAAACTCAAAGAGAACGTTTGAGGTGGACATAGAAACAGAACTTCAAGAGAACGTTTGAGGTGGACATAGAAACAGAACTTCAAGAGAACGTTTGAGGTGGACATAGAAACAGAACTTCAAGAGAACGTTTGAGGTGGACATAGAAACAGAACTTCAAGGAACGTTTGAGGTGGACATGGAAGCAGAACTTCATGAGAACGTTTGAGGTGGACATAGAAACAGAACTCAAAGAGAAAAAACAGCAAATGTTGCATTTTACACTAAAGGCAATTTTAAACTTATATTACCATTATATTAATTGTTCATTTGTAAATATCATTGCACTACCTGGTATGTGAGAGGGCCAAGGCATTCCTGTGTCTACAGCCTCATAGTTGTGTATCTGGAGTGTGAATCTGGGGCCTGGAGTAGGGGATGAGCTAATAACGGCACACACGGTGAGCTGAACCAAAATGTATGTTTTTCCTTCATAGTTTTTATTACGCTCTTTAGCAAAACACATGGTACAGCCAACAGAAAAATAGCCTGCAAAACAGGCGGGATGGTGAAATTACACATATCACGCATCAGTGAACTAAAGAAAATTAAGTTCACATAAAAAACAGAGCCAGCTTATCTGTCTCTTAGGACAGAAGAAATCAGACCACATGTAAGACAGCAGTGCAAATAAAACCTCTAAAATGCAATATTCCTAAACACATAGAATTGGTATTTAGGCGGGGGTTCAGTAAAGTAAGGCTTAAGCTAAAGGAGCTTTTTTTTTTTTTCCTGACATATATACATAAATGGGGTGTAAGAAATGGGCCCTGAGAAATGAGCAAGAATTAGGGATAGGGGAAAAAAATATATTTATGGAGGGAGGGTGGGTGTTTGAGGGCTAACAAAGGACGGGGGCAGAGATTAGCACCCGTCAAGAAAGCCAAAGGTACAATCTATCTTATCTTTACTGGGGTGGAGCCTGTAAGATCAGAGCGGATATATAAGAGGCATACTTCTGAGAATATTGGAAATCGTTCAGATAACACCACATTCCATATCATTGATTTTATTTACCACAGCTGTCCTTTGACCAATTGACAGCGGGTCTGTAGTTGTCCATTTTTGTGGAATGCAAACCTTGGCGGCATTGAGCAGGTGGATCAGGAGGGATTTCTTGTACATATGTCTCGAGAGTGGGGTAATGTGTAGTAGGAATGTCTCTGGATGTACCTCCAAGGATATATCAGTAAGTTTATGAATAATCCACTTGATGTCCTCTAGAGATGTGCCCAATGAAAAAATGTGTTTCATTTCACATTTGTACATTAAGTTAATAATTTTGTTTTGTCATATTTGTTAAGTTAGAATGATTTGTTTTCAGAATTGGTTTCTTATATATTTTCTTTTCAAATTGGCTATATTTGTTCTATTTTATTCTATTCTGCTTTATTCTAATTTAAAATTCAAATTTCAGAACACGGCTATATTATTCTATTGTATTCTATTCTGTTCTATTCTATTCTTTTCATTTCTATTCTGTTCTGTTGTATTTTGTTCTATATTATTCTTTTGTATTCTATTCTTTTATTTTCTATTCTGTTTTATTCTGTTCTACTCTATTATTTTATATTCGATTATATTCCTTATTATACTTTTCTGTTTTATTATATTCTTTTATTTTCTGTTTTCTTCTATTCCTTTATTTTCTTTTTTATTCTGTTTTATTCTAATTTAGTATACAGAAGATGTCAACATTTATTCAATTTTCTCGTATTCTATTTAATTCTAGTCTATTCTATTTTTTCTATTCAGTTCTATTTCTATTTTTTTTTTTATTTTATTTTCTATTCTTTTCTATTTTTTTCATTTTCTATTCTATTATTTTCTGTTCTACCCTATTCTTTTATGTTCTATCTTATTTTGTTTTATTTGAATTTAGAAACAGAAGATGCTACATTAATTCTATTTTATTCTTTTGTATTCCATTTGTTCTATTCTATTTTTTATTTTCAAATTATATTTTATTCTATTCTATTCTTTTATATTATATTTTATAATATTATTTTATTTTCTGTTCTATTCTTTTCTGTTTTATTCTATTCTATTCCTTTATTTTATATTATATTCTATCCTTTTCTTTTATATTCTATGTTATTCTGTTCTATTCTTTTATATTCTATTCTTTATTTTCTATTCCATTCTATTCTTAATTTTGAAAATTAGATTTTTGGAAGACTGCTATATTTGTTCTATTTTATTATTTTCTTTTATTTTCTGTTCTAGTCTATTCTGTTGTATTCTATTATTTTATATTCTATTATTTTGTAGTCTGTTCTATTCTGTAAAGCAGTCTAAGTAGGAATCATCATCTTATTTAACTTTTATGCATTACTGTACTTATTGCAAAATTTTCCATTTAAAATTCAAATTCATTTTCAAATTTGACTTTGGGTAATTAGCTTCATTATAATTTGTTTCAGATTTGTTAAAATTTGTTATTATTATGATTCTCAAATTTGGATATATCTGAATAATGAAAATTTTGTTCGAATTTCGATCCTTAACTAACGAATCGCACGTCTAATGTCCAGAAGGGTTGTAGATGAGTACATGACCAAAAGATATGTAGCAACAAGCCAAGTTCTTGTTGGCAACACCAGCATATTAGAGATGCAGCGGGATAGATCTTATGAAGAAGCACAGGAACAGCAGTTCAACAGTTTATATCTCACTTTCTGATATCTACTGGAAAGGAAGGATCAGTCAGCAAAATAAAGAACCCAGTCTCACTGTGCAATGATCAAGGTCCTGTCTAGATCTCTCTCCCATTTCAGAAGAATTGCATTTAATGATTGTGGCTTGTGCTTAAGTAGTGTCAATGGTTGTGGCTTATAGCAGCAACTTGAAGAGTTTAATAAGGGTGCCAAATTTTGGGTTAACTGTGGTGAAGGAAGAAATGCCCCAGCATCAGTATAAGGAAAGGATGTCCATGAATGTCCCTGCATTGGTGGTGTCACTGAAGGGAAAAAATGCTACAACATCGATGTTAGTAGATGGAAAAAAATGCAGCTGTATCAGTAGTGTTAGTCCTGGGGGGACTTATTGGTATCTGTGTCAATGGGATGAAGGAAGGGAGCTGAGAGGATGGGGTGTGGGGATCTTTGGGGTGCACTTAACTGGGGAGGGGACTGTGTGACTCTACAGGATGTAGGTGGGGCTGAAGGGCTCTGAGGCAGATAGGGTGTCTAAAAGGATTTTTCAAGACTTTCAGAGTTGCTCCCCCCCACCCTACATTTTCTTAC